CCACCGCTCCTCCGCACCCAAACACCAACCTAGCCCAGCATTATCCATTTCTTCTCCAAATTGCTCAAACACATCCAAAATGGGTCGGAAAACCAAGCAAAAGTCATGCTTCGCGTGCGTTGAGACCAAGCGCCGCTGCGACAAGCGATATCCCTCTTGCTCACGCTGTCTCGATCGGGAGTCGGTCTGCACTTATCCTGCTTTGCCAAGACGACAGCCTCTCGACTTGATTGAGGCTGAAGCTGCTCCAGCGATGGGCTTTGGAGACATGTGGACTTCTGCGGCTGATGCAAATAGTCTGGCGTTGGTTGGAGAAATGTCCGAGCCATGGCTTCTCGATCCTGTCTTCAGCGCCAATCTGAATTGTCCGTCGATCTCGTCATGGACGCCCTCGGTATCAGATCCATCATCACTACCAGCTTCATCCTCAAGTGGAATAGCTGAGGCTTCCGGCCAGCTGATACATGCATCTCGGGATTTGGGCTGGTTTCTTGGACCTCAATCATGGGTTATAGGATATCATTACAACGCCCCTGAGGTGATGCCTTCAGCTTCCGTATTCACTAATTTCATCCGCGGCTTACAAAACTGGTTATCCCGGTTTGCCAAGACTGGTCACAACCCCTTCATCCACCGACATCTCTATTCAGACTCCGGATATCCGCAATGCATTCAAGATGCATACTCTGCTTGTGTTGTCTCCGGCGCTGCTAGTAGCGAGAATGAAACCATCGTCAACGCAATCTCGGCTACACACATCACAAATCTACTAAACGCTCAACCTGCCAGAGGCGCCAATATCATCTCCACCAGGGACCATCTAGCCCGCACTCAAGCACTTCTCATCCACATCCTCCTCGCACTTTTTTCTTCCTCAATTGAACGTCGGGCCAGGGGTGAGAATCTCATCAGCCTTCTTCATGCGTGGAAGAATCAGCTATGGGAGTCTGCAACACATGATAGTACACTTGCTTCACCACTACCGATCTTAGCGACTTCCAGCGGAACAGCTGTCGGTGAACTGGACCCTATCCCCGGCCTCTACCGTTCCTTTGTCCTCTCCGAATCCATCCGTCGTACCGGGCTACTGTGCAACATTGCCACTGGTGTATATAGCGGTTTGAAAGGCAGCAACATACAGTCATGCGGAGGCGACATCCATATCACGACACAAGCCAGATTCTGGGAGGCATCTTCGTCTGCACGCTGGGAGGCTGTTGCACGAAACACTGATCCCTTGTTCCTTTATACATTAAAGGGCCAGATGCTGCTGGATCGTGGGATTGGCGCTGGCCAGGTTGACGAATTTGCACGTCATTTGTTTACTATTATGTGGGGATTGGAAAAGGTTGAGACCTGGGCTGTGAGAACAGGAGACGAGGTTTCTGTTATATACTAGGACGAATCATGTAATCGAATTCATTGTCAAGTACAAGAAATTCCCCTTGCTTTTGTATACTCTTCTATACTCATCTTGAAATTCCCATCTGAAATTGGTCCACATATACCGCAAGGTATTCATGCGATCCGGTCGAAGCGAGTGGACCAAGTCCTCGCTAGTGTAGGGGCCCCATCTCGATACTGAATTGCAGTGACTCTTTGATCAACCGTTCTGGCTGTGGATAAAACATTGAAAAACACTCCCGTCTTTGCTCGGATAGCAGCTGTAATCCACTCGGGCTTCTCGGACTGTAGCCAACGGGACCACTCCGAGCCCTCTCCACCTATGTCCGCGCCAACTCCACTTCATGTCCACTGACAAGCTATCTGCAATTAACGTCAGGTTTCGAGGCTGTGGTTGACTTTCAAGGTGATTAGCAATCTGCATGTGCCTGACGCAGGCGGCGATGAGTTCTGATCTCGTCATACCGCGCGGAATGAAGACGTGGAGTGATCTGCGGAGTCGGAGAAAAGTGACTTGTGCGAAACCACTGCACCGAGATTCTCATATTCATAAGTATAAAATGGACTTCTTTTCTCAATATCGTATACTTCTCAACTCACTTCTTATCTATTAATCAATTCTTTAACATCCAGCATCCAGTCAACCAAAATGTCAGGTCAACAAGATTCTCTGTTTGAGTGGATCACCAAGCTCAACGACACCCTCTTCATCCAACCCAACGATGAGATCGCACTCAAGGCTATAGATGATCAGGTTGATCCAAACCTAGTCACCAAGTAAGAGAACCCATTCATGACCCTTGAGGCGGTATATCTGACCTGCGACACACTAGGATCAATCACACCATTTATACCTATGATCAGTTCAAACCCGGTCTTCTCTACGTCCGTGGCTCAACTACATCCATTCAAGACGAATTCTCTGAGATTCTCACGTGGGAGGATCCCGAGAAAGGCGATGGCGTTGTGGCTGTTCTGAGTAAATGGAGGACCAAGCATAAGGAAACAGGCGAGGAGACCAAGAAGACTAATGTCATTCTCTGGGAGGTCAAACTGATTGATGGGAAGAGAAAGCTTACCGGACAGACTGAAGTGGAGGCAATCTAGATCACATTACTTTCGATGGATCTTAAAGATGCTGTCGAGATGGCATGTGTGGCTTAAATTTCTTGATGAATTTATCACTGGTACTACAGAGGTTCTAAGTACTCCGTATCACGAATTCACAGCTCAATCACGACAAGGGATTAAAGCAGAGAAACATTTATTAAGATATGATATACTTTGTGCCTGCAATACAGAGCATTTCATAAAGAACCAACTTTTCAAGGTGCCTTAAGTGACCAATTCCACTTATCAGCCTATTCTTTGTCGATACAGGCAGAGCAAAGCCGATGATACACTCAGCACTTGTTGCGACTGACGCAAGATCCGGACTAACAAGTTAGATTAGTAAAAGTCTTCAACGAAATAGTTTTAACTCACCTGGCTTCTAATGGTGCCTTCCTTGCAGAAGCAACCAGGAACGCACTGCTTGGTGCACGGTCGGGGCTCGGGTGCATCGCAACTCAAGGGACAGGCCGTGCCGCATTCAAAGAACTGCTCACCCTATGGATTCGTGTTAGATCAAGAAACAAAGTCGAGGAGGTATATGCTCACAGCCTTGCATTTCGGAGTAGTAGCGGCAGGAATGGCAAGAGCGCCAACAGCGAAAAGGGCGATGAGGGAGATGGAGTACTTCATTTTGAAGGGATGATAGATTGTTGGAAATTGGAAGTAGATGAGATTGTAAGTGAAGTGTGAATGATGGTGCAGAGCAGAGAACAAGATGCTTGGAAGAACAGGTCTTATATAGAGTTTGTTTCTTGTATTCACATGCCGCCCGGTCAATCAACGTGATGTTTAAAGTTTTCATCAAAGCACACGCCGCAACGCAACATAACATTCGATGTTTAAGGATCCACTAATGCCGGGTTGGTCTCTAGCGCAACCAGCCCTTAGAATATGGATTTGAGACTAGGTTCTGTCTGCTAGAATAAGCTCTTAGCCACAAGTCTTAACTGTAAATAATATATCTAGCTTATAACTTAAACATTATATTAAAATATCTAACTAATTGCTATAGTAAAAAGCTAATATTATAAAAACCTAAAAGATAATTTACTTATTTATTATTATAGTTATAAAAAGGTACCTTTAATATACCTTTAAAGATAATTAAATATAAGATAATAATAAAATAGAATAATAATATATATACCTAAATAAAAGCTTATTTATATAATATATTTAAATAAATTCTAATAGCAGTATATTAATAGATTTCCTTTTAATTTTATTAATATTAAGAATTATAAATAGATACTTTAAAATAAAGATTCCTTTTAGGAAATTAAAGCTATAAGGGATAAAGTTTTAGAGGTTATTAAGATTAAGGAATATAAAAGGCTTTTTAATAAGCTTATTTAATAACTAACTATTTTTAATATTTATATTTTTACTTATATTATAATAAGACTTTATTAGGAAGTTAAGAAAGCTATTAGGTAAAAGAGAGAAGCACTTAAAGCCCTTTTTAATAATAGGGCTAAAATTAAAAAGATAGTAAAGTTAATTAAAAAAAAAACTAAAATTAAATTAAATCTCTAATTAAAGTATAGCTAGCAATTTACTATTAAGATAATAACTTTTAGGTATAATATATAGCTATTAGATTTATTAAGAAATATTAATATATAAGAAAAGCTTAACTGGAAGAAAGTTTTATAATAATAGGTATATTAGTGCTACTAGAAAGAAGGTTAGAGAGAAGGTTTATGGCAATTAGAAGGTTATAGCGGTATTAAGTTTATAAGTCAATCATAAGGTTAGAAAATACACTTTAGGTTTAACATAATGATAGATTTGAGATAAAAGCGGCATAGAGTTAAATTATACATCTCAAGTCAGAAGTTATCCTTAAGGTGAGAAAGTACTTAGAAGAGTTTACGAATCTTTAATTCTCTCCCTATATATAATAAGTTATCTTTAAAACAGTTAATTGAGAGTTAGTGTATTTCTCTATATTTCACCTTTTGGCATAATAATAGATTTAACTTTAAAAGTTGTGGAGTGACTTCACTGCCCCACTCCCCCTCCTGGATAAGCCGGTAGTGGCCGGGCGGACCGAGATGGTGATCAAGCCGGCATTGAGCCTCTTAGGTAAGATGCTTAATTTTCCGCTGTTGTTTTTCTGCAAGGGGAAAAATCTGCGTTTTGAATGACTTGCTAATTTGATATCAAATGAACTTTTGCTCATGCAGTATACTGGATCAGGAGGTTGATGACAAGACAGTCAGGTCATGGTCACATAGCTGTAGCACGAAGGTGATTTTTGTTAGGGTTGGGTATTTTCAAGGTCTGGCACATTTACTTAAGAAAAAACAATGTATTATCTCTTTGTATTATATCATAAACCCAGCAGTGCAACTTTGTATAACTTTATCATCTCTTCTTGCCAAACTCGGAAATTCAATATGCCATAGACTCCTAGTACATTTTTGCTCTTGGCCATCTTTGATCTCTGTCTCAACTCATCCTGTGTCTTTGGTGTTGGCTTATAGGAGACACAGGGGTTCAAAGTCGCAAAGGGCCTTGTTGATGGGCGCAGAGTCAGTAGCCAATGTGATGAGATCGCCGTCCTCAGACCCATCAGCCAGATTCTGAGGAGGTCGGTACTCCCGACCGTATTGGCCTCCGTTTTCAAAGACTGTAACTTGTGTCTTTGGCTTGTCATTTTCTCGAGGCCAAGATTCATTCCCAGTCTCAGCCCACATTGCCTCCCGCTCTAGTTCGGTTTGCTGGGGGGCAGGAGGCCCGTACAACTCATCCCAGTTCTGCTTGGGAGGCTCCTCGTAAGAAACCTTGGGCAAGTCTGAAGCGCCCACCTTGCCACTGTGAAGAAGCTTGTAGCCCATATATCTGAACCACTCCAAGTCTCGCGCAAGGAGGCGCCCCTTGCCATGTAGCTGCCAGTAAAACGGCCACGACTCATGCGTGGCCTTTGCGTCGCCCGACTCGTACAAGCCGAAGGTCGGCTCAAGAGCAGCAGCGAGCTTGACGTCAGGGCCCTTGATGAACTTGCTGTTGGGCCGGCCAGTCCCAGCGCTGTATTCATGGAAGCGCTGGACCTGGCGAGCGAGGAGACGGGTCTTTTGTTCGGGGGAGAGAGACATTTTGGAGTTGGTGGAGATGTTGGTGGGGAATGGGGATGGGGAGGGGAGATAGAAAGCTCGCTTGCTTTGGATAGAATGGATGAGGGAGGTGATTTGTGAGGTGATTGATGACTTGGTCTTGGGAGATAAACGAGAAGTTTGTGAGAAGACTTGGAAGTAAGTAAGTCTAAAATCCCGAAAGTGATGATTAAAGGAAAGAAATTTTAAGAGAAGGGAGCCGGGAAGGTCGCAATTTATAGGAAGGAAAGATAATTTTGACTTTCAGCTTCTAGATAACTTGTGCATTCCGAAGATGAGAAACTTTGAGAAAATGCATGATTGTCTGGCTTTACGCTTTTATCATTACAGGCTGAATTGTAGTCTCATTGGAGCATGCGCCGTATGCTTTCTTGTCACGACGGCAAATACAGTTAAACTTCAGAAACAATAGTGGCAGTCTAGAGTTTAAATTTATACTTACAACTGTACTCTTGATTGATTGGACAACAGTGCGCCTTTCACTTCTAGGTTCGAAGTTAATAGTGATCTCTCAAGACGAATGGAACAGACCTCGAGTAAAGTTCATAAGGAACTCACAGGCAGCCACCATAGACTCTCAATTTGTTTCTGCACGAGGCGGGCTCACGCATAACCAGAACTTATTCAGATGTCACACGATACCATCTGTTCATCCTCTCAAAGATCACTCGACCGTACTATACTGCCTGTTTGTGAATCATTCAACTGACTTTGACTGCCTGGGACTTTAGCATTGCGTTTGCCTTGATGACAACTCAAAAACTGGTTCGCGAATCAGGACAAGATAAATTCCAACTAAGAGGTAGACACAAGGTAGGATTAATACAATACAGAAAGGTAAGAACAAGATTTCACACCAGATCACCACTCATGACTACCAACTAGCCACTCAAAACCTAGATCGAACACATCCCTTCCCAACCATCTTCCGTCCCGTTCCACAAGTGCACTTCTTATCCGACCACACAAGATTCCCATTATCGCAAACACACTTCTTCGCATACCCATCCCAACTCGCCGCATCACCACAGTCAACAGTACACTGATTCTTCGACCAGACCTTTCCATCAGGACATCCACAGGTCTTCTCATCTGCATCGAAGATCTGACCCTTCTTATCGCAAACACACGTCTCAGAACGAGAGTTATACGACGCGTAGTCTCCGCAGTCGGTGATACACTCCTTGCCACTCCAGAACTTACCGCCCGTGCATCCACAGCCGAGGGTAACAGGATTGAAAGTCTGGCCCTTTTTGGGACAAACGCAGCTTTGAGACTTTTTGTGCCATGAAGCTAGTTTGCCACAGTCGATATGGCATTGTCCGTCAGACCAGACTAGCTTATCAGGACAAGAGCATGTTTTCGTCTCACTGTCAAAGTTCATGCCGTCCTTGTTGCAAACACAGCCCTTGGCAGAGTTACTCCAACACGCTTCAGAGCCACAGTTCGAAGCGCACATCTTGCCGTTCCAGCGTGTATCAGTCGGGCACGTACAAGTCTTGTCTGCGTTGAACGTCTGACCAGCCTTTTTGCACACACAAACATCGTCTTTGTCGTAAGCGTGTGAGCCGCAGTCTTTCTTGCAACCTTTCTTGGTGGGCTTGTAGCCGTCTTTGCAGACGCACTTCTTATCGGATAGGACGGTGTTGGGCTTGCTGCAGATGCAGTTACCTTCCGTGTCGCGGGTAGAATCGTCGGGACATTTGGGGGTGCATTTGTCTTTGACTGGTTCGTTGCCGGACTTGCAGGTGCAAGTGTTTTTGGTGTCCAGCTCGGCGAGGTTGTCGTCGCAGATGCAGATGTCTTTGTCATTGCGGGTGGAGCCTTTGGGGCATTCTGGCTTACACTCGCCGTTGACGATCTTAGTACCAGCTGCTATGCACTTGCAGGTACCGTCTTCTTGACGTGTAGAATCCTTGGGGCATTCAGGCTTGCATTGCCCTTTGACGAACTCGTACCCAGCAGTATCACACTTGCAAATGTTATCTTGCTGACGGGTAGATCCTTCAGGACATTTCGGTTTACACTCGCCACCAACGATCTCATGGCCGTCAGTAGTACACTTGCAACTTCCATCCTCTTGGCGAGAGCTTTCGTCGGGGCATTCAGGCTTACACTCTCTCTTGACGAGTTCATAACCGTCGGTGTCGCACTTGCAAGTGTTATCCTGCTGATGAGTAGACCCCTCAGGACACTGAGGCTTGCACTCCCCACTGACAATCTCGTAGCCAGCAGTAGTACACTTGCAGGACTTATCCTCCTGGCGTTCTGAGTCCTTGGGACATTCCTCCTTGCACTCGTCACTGACTATCTCGAAGCCACTGGCATCACATCTGCAGGTATCGTCCTCCTGACGGGTTGAATCCTTTGGACACTCGGATACACATACACCCTTGACAATCTCATAGTCTTCGGTATCGCAAATACAGGATCCATCGTCTTGCCGTTTTGAGTCCTCGGAACAAACAGGTACGCAGGTGTTCTTGATGATCTCCTCACCCTCTGCATCACACTTGCAGATATCGTCTCCCTGCCTGGTGGAATCCTTCGGACAGACAGGCACACAGGCGTTCTTGATTATTTCTTGATCATCTGCGTCGCATTTGCAAGTATCGTCGTCTTGCCTCTTTGAGTCCTTGGGGCAAACTGGGACGCAGATATTCTTGACTATCTCGGAATCCTCCGCATCACACTTGCAAGTGTCATCCTGTTGTCTCGTAGAATCCTTTGGACAAACAGGGACACAAGCACCTTTGATGAGTTCTTGTGCTTCATCATCGCACTTGCAGGTATCATCGCTTTGTCGCTTCGAGTCTTTAGGGCAGACGGGGACACAAGATCCCTTCAAGATCTCTTGGTTGTCTTCGGTGCATTTGCAAGAGTCATCAGATTGGCGAGTTGAATCTTTGGGACAAACAGGCACGCATGAGCCTTTGATAAGTTCTTTGGTAGTATCATCGCACTTGCAAGAGTCATCATTCTGGCGAGTCGTATCCTTCGGGCAAACAGGTACACAGGCTCCCTTGATGATCTCTTCCTTGTCGTTCGTGCATTTGCATGAGCCGTCACCCTGACGGGTTGACCCGTTTGGGCATGTAGTAACGCAAACCCCCTTGACGAGTTCCTTGTTACCGTCATCACATTTGCAAGATCCATCGGTTTGGCGTGTAGTATCCTTAGGGCACTTGTTCACACAAGCACCCTTGTTGATCTCCTTGTTGGAGCCGTTGCACTTGCAGCTGCCATCAGACTGACGCGTGGAATACTGAGGGCATTTGTCGACACAAACACCCTTGACCAAGTCCTTGTCACCCTGACACTTGCAGCTTCCGTTGTCCTGACGTGTCGAGTACAGGGGGCACTTATCGACACAAGACCCTTTGAACAACTCCTTCTTCGGATCATTGCACTTGCATGAACCATCACCCTGTAGAGTAGTACCCCCGGGACACTTATCAACACACTTCCCCTGCACAGACTCCTTTCCCGACTTGCAGCTGCACTGCCCGGACGAAGCAGACCAACTGGCACCATCGTCATCGCAGACACAAGACCAGCTGCCGTAGCTGCCAGGCTTGTACTTTGAATCAGCAGGGCACTTGTTAACACACTTCTTGTCCTTGAGGGTCTGTGCGTCAGGGCAGTCGCAGGAGTATAGCTTGTAGATCTGCCCTTCATAGGGACACTTGCAGTACCCAGGAGTTGAGCCTTTGGGTGGGACCCAGGTGGCTTCACCGCAGTATTGGGTGTAGGTGCGCCTGTTCAGGGCATTAGAGGTGCCATCTGGGGCAGCGGAGACGCCGGCGATGGCGATGAAAGCGAGGGTGAGAGCTTTGAACAACATTGTGAATGTACCAGGCGGGCCTTGTATTCACAAGTGATCGAAAAAAGAGAAGAGAGAATTAGACTTTGAGTACTGGTGCTTCTGAGTGAAGTTACAGGATTGACCTCTATGTCTTTATAGAAGTTACGGTGAGAAGGAAAAGAGAGTCACCACGATGATATTCGCTGGAGGCTTGACATCTCCGAGCTGAGTCGGAACGCCAAAAGCAATCTGGTGACAAGCTGCATGATGCTATTCCCCAAGAAGAATGAGTTCTCATCTTTTGGCCGCACTCTTCATTCTAAACAAGTCTAGACTCATCTCCAACCAAGCAGCTCAAGGGACCGATGGTCCGGAGGCGTCAGTGAATCAATAGCTTGTGGGTTTGGCTGAGCTGAGATGCTGTAGTGGATGGGATGACGAGGTCTGTATTGGCATTTCTTTGTTGTTCCTGAGTACCAACCGCCGTTATCGAGGATATGAGCGAGATCCGAAAATCTGGGGTGCAACCTTGAGCTTGGACTGGCCATTTGGGGTTGAATGGCACGGATCCTGGCTGTCCTCTTTGGCGTTGGGATGAACGATCTGTATCCTCAGAACCAGGATGATTCTTGAGATCCATTGTCTACAATTGATAGCCCTCTCTATCTCCCTCGTCCTGCTCTTTCTTCTGAAGTGCTGGGGTGGATTACAACGCAGTGACATGTCCTTTACCCCTGAGTTGGTGTAGATCTCACTTGCGGAGCTATCGCCTTAGCCGCGGACGGTGCTCTGAATTGCATCAAGCTTCACCATCTACCGAGCTTGGAACTGTTGGCTCAGGACCTTCCCTCTCCTGTGCCTTGCATTAGCTCTCGATCAAGGAACTGAAGAGCCTTCCTGTGATTGGCCAGAGGGAAATCATCACTCCATCTCCATCTTGGGGCTACAGTCAGCTGGAAAGCACTGACAAGCAAACATGATTTCTTCCCCCCATAAGACTAGAATAGAAACAGGAGCCTTACTTGACCAGGGCGTCGCGATACCTGAGCGTTGAGGTGACAGGCTGATGCGGCGTTTTGGGCGGAGGAGGATCAAAGAATGGACGCTATTCACGGCGACGCCACGACGCCACTTTGAACAGTTTTGGAATCTGGGGGCGCCACATTGCATTGACAGAAGTCGGAGAATGGGAGGTGGAAATTGGTTCATGCGGGGAAGTCTTTGACGTTTTATTTACCTTTGTGGGATGCTCGTATTAATTTCCACTTCGTCGTAGGCTTGGCATGGATGTGACCATCACCGCCAATGCGAGCTCAGCCGTCCAATAATGATGAACTCAATCAGACTGATCAACAGTACGCAGCCTGTCGCTGTTAGCGCTCAGACCTTGCAAGGAAGCGTCCATGCGTCACTTTGACACTCGATCTGTCAGGCAAAGCTAAAGGGCTGATCGTTCTCACAACGGCCGCAAGTCATCTTGGAGTAAGCTAAAGCTGCAGTTTGCCGATAGTCTCAGCCCTATAAGCATTCATGCCAGTGTCCAATTTCCACATCTAGATAACAATACGATTCCCGGGATATCGGCGATCTAGATCTGTGCATGCCAAGATCGAGAATGTGATCTGAGGGAGGGGCCACGGTTGATAACTATTTAGCGCATATAGTGAGCTTGAACTTGTCATCTCTTTGATCGGCGTGTGTACCTGGATCTTCTTGCTTGGATCGTGAAGAGTGAAAAGCCTGCTAATAATTCTATAATACCCTAAGGTCTCAGACAACGACGAGGTTTATAATCAATTGAGAGCTGGGTGTCTTACTAGACAGATGCAACATAAAATGATTTCAGGTGTCCACGCACTTGCTGTAAAATACTAATAGTTTTCTCCAATTTATTGTTGACTTCAATCTCCAGAGCATAAACCACATCATGCCTAGGGCACAAATCTCAAAACTACCCTACATACAAAGAGTAAACCTTCTCAGGCAGGCAAGAGGTTTGACAGTTTTATTACATTTTACAAAGGAAAACAAAACATCAATAAAATACTAAATAAACTTCTAATACACATACTGCTTTGTGTTGCACTGCTTCTGTAGATGCTGGATAAATACACTCGGAACCACCATTCGGAAATAGATATCAGCCTCCCGTTCCCGACGTTACCCCGCATCTCCTTAGTACGGCGTTCCTAAAGTTTAACGGCTGACAGTTAGCCTTTCCGGCCAAGATCTTCAATCTTATCTCTCTAGCTTGATGTCTCAGGAGATAAGCATACTTCATCAGCACCCGCATAATAGCTCTTCTCTACAAGCTGACATCTAAACAAGCTAGATAGTAGTTAAGTGATAAGGAACTGATAGTAAAGAGATATGATCTAGCCTGTGTTGATTCAATTACGAGAGACAAATGCTCTATCGGATTGTGACTGCATAATCGCTCCTCCGGTGCTGCCGGGCTGGCTAGGTCTAAGTCGGGTAGCATATTCTACACTACCAGCACTGTTGGGAGATCACGCGGAGATAGTGATGAACTTGATTCTGTTATGTCACTGTTTGCTCGAGTCAGTGGCCGCGGGTCATTTATGTCGTGGACTGCAGCAAGGTAGTTGCTATTACTTAATCTCCGCATTATATTGAAGCATGCTACAGTCTCATTCCTTTTCTATATTTAGAGAAAGATGCCAAGAGAACTCTTCTTTTTGTCACAATCGTATGTTCTTATGTCAATACTGGGACCGTCATGACACAGGTCTACTTGGAAGGATAGAAAGCCGCGGAGCAAGACGGCTGCATTCAGGTACCCTGTTTTGTTCTAGATCACTTACTGGCTGTATTATCAATAACACCCTTCGGTTAGAAAAGTGGCTTGCTTAAGGGTTCCTGTTATGATGTAACTCTATCTATGGAGAAATGCACAGAATGAAATTGTTTGATGAACTCTTCCATTCTCATCCTGACTTGTTGTTCCATCTCCCCGGCCCCGGTCTAGGGTGACATGTGGAGTTTGGCTCTGCATAGAGCGAATTGGAACAGACTTCAATACGGTCCAGCCAATCAGAACATTTCGACGTGCATACTCAACGCTCCACAGTGAAGATCATTTGTGTGGGGTTCGGAAGACTCTCGGTAGCGAAGTTCGCTACGGGAGGAGAATAAACCATTCAAGCTTAAGATAACAGCTTATAACCGGCGGCATATTAGGGGCTCTACCAGTATCAGCGTGATAAGATCTGTATTCACACCAAGGATTCGCCCAAAATGACCAATCAAAGCTGAAAACACTGTAATTACTATCGCTGGCCCTCCATTCCGAATAGTTCCGCATTCCGACTCACTACCACCACCCACCAAAAGGCCCGGCCGGATCAAGTTCACGCAGGACCGGTCCCACGTGGTATCGCTTATTCAACATGCATCTCTCCATCTCCTGAAACGCCATTGTTTCCCACAGCTAAACTCAAAAAACTAGTCTAACGATCCGGAAGATAAGACTCCCGATGCGTGAATCATGAGTGGCCCGAATATATCGGTTATCTTTGTCTGTATCTAGTCGTCGATTGCAACATTTGCCTACCGGATTGCAACCTCCGTAAACCCGAACGCTCGCTTAAGATGTGGCTTGCAGTATGAGAGAGGGACTGAGATATGAGGTATATGCACTGTAGCCCTGTCAGCATGAACCTTATCATCTATCATATAGAACGTGGGGATTAGTTTCTTGGACCCTGGTCAATATTCGTGAGCTGAAGAGGAATGAAGTGACTACACTTGGTCGTGATAATGCCAAGGGTCTTGAAAAGGGCTTTTTTTGAGGGATTGGGTAGTCGGATCATGTGTTATCTCCACGATAAACAGCGTGGGGATGTTCTCACCGACATGGTATAGGCATATCGCACGAGTCAAGGTCTGAGTCTGTAGAACTGTGTATTTCTATATATATCGCCATGTATAGCCTCAATGTCAAAAGAATCAACCCATCCTCGTTTGTCTATTCGCACTCAGACATCCAGCTGGCAAGATGCGTTTCTCAAACTTCTTTGTCTCAGCCTCTCTGGGGAACTTAGCTCTCGGCGCAGCCTTCTCTACTGGAAGACTCGAGAGTCGAAAGCAAGGCCCTGGAACTAATTGCTCTCTAAGCCAAACCGCCGCGAGTGCTCCTCACAAGAACTTCTGGGGTAGTCTGACCACCCAAGAGACAAAGGATGTACTTGCTCTTCTGCATAGCAATGCAACAGGCTTTAACTTGACTGCTGCAGAGACTGCAGGAAGGTATGTTTTCAAATCTTGTACTTCAAGAAAAGTATCTAACAGTCCATCACAGTCGAGACAACAAGATGTAAGTCGTGCATAACGTGTCCTGACATCACAGACTAACAACTTCTACAGCATGTCAGTTGAGCTCATGATGCCTAACAAGACCGATGTCCTCCCCTTCCTTTCAAACAGTACCGGCAGCCCAGAGCGCTTTGCCTTGGCTGCAATCATGTTTGGCGCAGTTGAAAGTGCCTATGTCCAAGAGTTCAAGGTTGGCCCTATGCCTATCACCAACACCTCATATGTCATGCCGTACACCTACACCAACACAAGGACTGGTGATGGCAAAATCCCAATTGTCAATCCTGATGCTGAGGATTATGGTAACTTCAATCTTGAGGTCATGAAGAGCGCAGAGGACGTAACGAAGCGGCTGTGGAATTTGGTAAGCTCTTATTGTGGGTACGAGATGGTGGCTCGACTAACAGAGAAAAGACCGTCGAGGATGGACTGCAGATCCCGCTTGCTTTCGCAGCTCCCCTCACAGTTACAGACGACAAGGTCATCATGTGGCAGGGCTTCAATGCACCCGTCATCAACATCTACGACACAATCTCTCTACTGCCGCTAGGTCTGTATATGAGAGCAGACATCACAGGCCGTGATCCCAGCAAGTGGAAAGTGACAGGCTGGGTGTACAACAACGAGTTCTACAAAGATCTCGATGCCTTCCGCAAAGTCATTGCCGAGCCTGATTTCGAGCCCCTGGGAGCCAATCTGGACCA